CAGCGTGACTCACTGGCTGGTGCATTAAAGAGTGCCAGGAAGGGTTCGTGGGCACTGGAGCTCAATTGTCCATACTGTTAAATCATCAGAATAGCTCTTGGCATGGTTTGAGTTATGCCAACCAGCCTTTCCTCAGGGAGTCCCCCGGCGCAGTTAAGCGTGGGCCAGAGACCGTTCCCGATAAGCTGTTTGCACGCCGTCACCTTTTCTGGGAGGCTGAGAATTTAATAATATGGACATAGACCACTCTGTGCCTGTTGGTCTCGGTGCCAAAGGAACATTTCCTGTCCCATTTAATTTCCTAGCACAGACACAGCCACTGTGTTACAGTCTGATCCCTGCTTTGTTCCTGTAGCTGTGCAACTGGGCATCGGCCTGTGCTTAACGTCTGTGGCAAACCGAAATGCAGTCTTTTGTGTCTGTGTTACTCAACCCCATCCCGAAACCTCTGTTTGTCTTTGTCTTTTCTGAACTGTATGCTATTCAGATAGCAGCTATATTTGGGAAGGGCTGCGTGTTGTGCGTTTAACTGAAGTGGTTATCCAAAAGTGAAGATCTGCTCTGTAAAGTAAATGGAAATGGAGCGTGACAGAATGCCTAGGCCTTGTGTTCACATTGCTAGTGAGCAGATGCTTGCCACTAATTTTATTCTTCATGAAGTGCAGGATTGAAACTCCTGAGGCTAGATGGTCCCAGATAGCAACATCTATCAGGTATAATAAGGCAGAAACCTTTGTTTCAGAATAAAGCTCTCCTGTCTCAAAACGCAGCTCTCCCCTTACTTCTCACTGAGCATATTTCCTTCTTTAGTAGGTCAGGCACAGCCTTGGTAGACTTTTGCAGATGTTCTTGTCCTTTCTAGTGCCTCTCAGATACACCTTTAATTTCTTTGGATCCTGAAGTGCTGCCCAAATCTACTGACATTTAAACTGCCAGAAGCAGCAATCTGCAGCTATCTGATATCATCTCATCTTATCTGGGTAGTGGAAACATAGAATGTGCACAGGGAAAGGATCGTAGTTACTCCTTTAGGTACGTACTTCTTCCAGTGTATTAATTATTCTCAATCTCTTATGTAGCTTAGTCTGTGAAATACAAATGTCATAGGGCATCCTCAGGACAGGCAGAGCGGTCCGTGAAGCGAAGGGGGGAAGAGCAGCAAATGTGGGGCGTGGGAGCATTTGGAGGCAGCTGGAAGAAGGGGGGACAGGATGTGAAATTGTGGAGAGTTCGAGGGCCCAAGGGAGCGCAGGGAACGTGAGAGAAGGCAGAGCAGAGTCTGGGTCCACCTGGGCATCTGTGCACGAGCAGCGGGAGGTCACGGGTTTTCGGTGACACTCGAGGGCACCGCTGGCATGTGGCAGAAAGGCAGAGGCAGGGGAGAGGAGCCAGGGGGCAGCTGGGAGGAACCTGACTGGTGGTGCAGGAGAGCAGCTAGAGGGACCAGGCAGGTCGAGAAGTGAGGAGGAGGCAAAGGAGGGAAGTTTATTAGAGGACTAAATGCACCATGGTCATTGAAGCCTACAGCCTCCAAAGCGTCTAGGAGTCTCGCGCTGAATTCAGGATCTCCGTCCGCATGGGAGCACAAAGCCTGTATCCTGCGGAGCGTTCGCTGTGTGCCACACTACGTGTGTGTCGGATTTTCAGGAGACACAGAATCTAAGTGAAATATACTGATTCGGGTCCTTCTTTTTTCTCATCTAAAATTGGGATTTTATTAAGCAGCTGCCTATCAGTCTGTCAGGGAGAGCCTGTCTCGCTGGTGGCCTGGCTTACCTAAGCAAAGCATTTTTTCATTCTAAGTCAGAACTGTGATGAAGAGGAAGTGATGATCTAGTTGCTCAGCCTCACCATATCCTGTGTTCAGAATAATTTTCATTTCTACTTATCTGCAAGTGTTAATGGAATGTCCACAAATATTTTCTTGGTTTCTATGGTAAAAGAAAGAGAGTGTGAAACTCTGTCAAAACCACTGCATCATCTGCTTCACCCTGTGCTTTTCAGGAGAAAACCCTGACCACTAAAGGAGCCATCTGTGGCATTACTTGTGTGCAAGCTGGTGTTTACCCCATTTCGATCCCTTTCAGGTTCACAGTTTGAAACACTGACTTGCGAGTTACAGACCATGAAGGTTATTGGTCGCTTATGATTACAAAGTGATGACCGAGCATGTCAAAACAGCGCAGTACACGCTGCTTCCTCTCTGACTATGAAGCAGTCAGGCATTTGCTGGAATTTAACTGTAAGGCTTGGAAAATATTTTTTTTTAAAAAAAAAGTTTAAGTTTCCAAATTTCTCGGAAGTAAAACCTCCCGGTCCCCTGCATACGCGTGCATGGAGCGTAGCAAGGTGCAAGTGCGTGGGGAAGTGTGCCAGTACGGGGTCACGTGGGAGAAGCAGCTTCCGACTATGAAGCAGTCAGGCATTTGCTGGAATTTAACTGTAAGGCTTGGAAAATATTTTTTTTTAAAAAAAAAGTTTAAGTTTCCAAATTTCTCGGAAGTAAAACCTCCCGGTCCCCTGCATACGCGTGCATGGAGCGTAGCAAGGTGCAAGTGCGTGGGGAAGTGTGCCAGTACGGGGTCACGTGGGAGAAGCAGCTTCCGCAGCCTTCTGAGAGCAGCTCGGTTCCCCGAGCCAGCCACGAGCTGGGACGCTTCTCTCAGGACAGGAGCAGCTGGCCTGGGCTGCGCTTCCCGGGGAAAGGGATGTACATTGTCAGGAGCATTCCTAAGCATCTCACCACCACGCATCCCCCAGTCCTTTGGCTGTGAGATTGCAGTCTTTGCGTGGCAGGGCCAGGGGGATCAGGGCAAATAGAGCACCCTTGCACTCTGCGGGAAAGAGCCGCAGGGTTCTCAAACCGGGAATCGAGGGGTTCGGTGGTATTCCCACAGGTCACGGATCACATGGCTCCTGCTCCTGACACCACATCCAGCCATTGGCAAGCGGGAATGGGTTGAAGTTATGATAGCGAATCTCTCAAAGTGATGTTTCTTCAGTAAACCTTTCCATAAATGTAGTGAGAGAATGAAAGTGCAGTTCTGTCTGAGAGGTGTATCTGCATCAGGAAAGCTACGTGTGTGTTTTAGGAGGAGCTCTGTCTGACTGAAATAGGGCAGCTCCAGTCAAAATCCAGTTACATCTGTTTTCTTTCCATGGAGGGAATCTCTGAGGAAACTTTTCTGGCTTTTATAGGGAGCAGTTATTCTGGAAAAGCATCCCTGGTGTGGTACCAAATCAGGAACAGGACAAAGGCAGTTAAATAATGCCCAGCTTCCACACAGGGCTTTGTTTCTGTGGGCAGGTATCTGGAAGTCCCGCTTGCCAGCGCAGTACTTTGCCCTGTTACTGAACTGTTCCAAAGACAGATTTTATGAATAGAGATCAAAGTGTTTAAGAGGACTGTTAGCAAATATGACCACTTGTGCAAATATCCGTGAACCTCCCTTCAATAGCCATTCAGTAGTTCCAGAGGCTGTCGGGGCATGTAATGATTGTGTTTGCTTTTGTTTCAGCTGGCTTTGACCAGCAAATTCAGCCGATTACTTCTATTGTTATTTCTGCTTAGAAGACATTTATATTGTTATCAGTAAAAAAACCCACTCTTCTTGCATGTTTCTTTGTACTGATCTTAAAATTCAGAACTCACTATTCTAGTTAACATTGCTTTAACAGTTGTTTTCATTCTTTTCTTCACACTTGTTTCTTTTCAGTGGTTGTTTTTTTGTTTCATGCTTCTCCTGAATGCTACAGCTCCCACCTTTGTGTCTGCTGGAGAAACAAACCGATAATTGCCGAGACCCTCCCTGCTCCCAGATGAATAGTGAGAGATCTAAATTATAGCACACACTGAGAAAATACTGGTATTTATCTGATGCTACTGTGTTGTTATGGCTGGACTATAACTGTATTCGGGAGCAGGATACTCCCGCAGCTCTGAGATTCTGTTCTAGCGATGCAGTAGCTCACGCAGGGCTCTGAAGAAAGCTCCTTGCGTTCTGTAAATATTCTGAGGATACAGTCGGCCTCATCTGTATTTGGTCTGCTTGTGGGAAAGAAAAGGATAAATATAAACTGTCCCATCTCTGTTGTGGGTTCAATGTGCAGGACTCATCAAAGCGCATGAATGGAGCAGCGCCAGCAAAGCTCCCACTGGGTCTCTACAACATGTTGAGTCGCGGCCACCGGGACAGGAACAGCCTAAAAGCAGATGCTTTACGTGGCATATGGCCCTGTTTTTTTAGCTGAAACTAAATTGTGAGAGACCTTAGTGCTGGTCTAACCAGCAGCACGTGGGCAGAGCCAGTCACACAGCCACACAGGTTCGAGATCGGCCAAGAACCCCCGGGCTGCGTAGCTCAGTGTGACAGTCTGAGCCCCCTCTGTGTGCCAGGAAACCCTGGTGGCAGCGCTGGGTGCCTTTGGGAAGGGCCAGCTTTGGGGAGGATTTGACTTAATCCTTATCCAACTGATACGAAAATAAATTGTATCTTCTTCAGTTTCTTCAGAGAGAACTTCTGAGACGGGTCCAACGCGTTTACCCTGGTTGGCCTGTACACTTGGCTCAACTCCATTTCTTTGAAAAAAAAATACATGAACTATGAAAGGCTTGGGACAGCTATGGGCTACAGGCTCTACAAAGAGTCTCGGTCTCCTCTGGGAAGTGTTTGGGGTCTGTAACGTGCAAAATCTTCCCAGAGTCGTTCTGGCAGCGTGCTGGGGTGCTGTGATGTCCCTCCAACGCTTTACTCTGATACTCTAGTTTTGTTGTACCCTGAACCACACTGTCCTTGACAAGAAGTGGTCTCACTTCCCAACTCATCATCACTACAGCTATCCATACTGAGATTTTCCATACAGGACCCTTTTCCATGGTCCAGTTTGCCCTAATTGGTGACATTTTACAAACTAAGTGGGAGTTGTACATGCAAGACTTACGAGGTTGTAGTTTCATAGCTAAGCGTGCTTTCTCTTACCTCCCTTTTTTTGTTTTACAGGTTGTTACTTTGTGGTATAGAGCTCCTGAAGTTTTGCTTCAGTCCAGCTATGCAACACCAGTTGATCTTTGGAGTGTTGGCTGCATATTTGCAGAAATGTTCCGCCGAAAGTAAGAAATACAGTTTATTTTCTTCATGGTTTTCATTTGAAATTTGAAAAAATGTGCAGTAATGCCTGGCACAATACACTGGCTCATGTTTATACTGGAAAGGACCGCTAAAATGTTTTGTTTGCAATGCAAAATGCAAATACCCATTGTCAGTTAGTACTTGTTGCTGTGTTGGTATCTTTCTGGTTTGATGGGAGTCTGCCTCAGCATTTGGTAAAGCCTGTGTGACCATTGATGTATTTCCTGTTACGCCTGGATCTGAACACGGATAAAAGTGGGCCAGAGAGGCTGGTGATCAATTTGAGTAAAGCTGAATTCTGGAAAGGGTTTACCCCAAGGAAGGCAGGGCACGGTGGTGCGCAGAGCCTTCTTGCTCTGGAGCTTGTACACTGCAGTGTCAGGTGTTTGCTCAGAGTCCTCTCTTGGCATATTTGGGATCGCCAAAGTCACTGCAAAGCGGATTTCTAGAGGCAGGAGACAGAGGTAGGATTTTCTTAAGAATAAGCTGTTTACCTTGACTGTAGGGTAACAGAGATGGTAAATGTAGTCCAAAAAAAAAAAAAAAGATTGGGGCGGAGCTGATTCAATTAAATTGGCTATTGTCGTGCTACAGAATACTACAGCTGGATGCAGCTGAACTGTGAATGAGAGAGGAGCACTTGTGTACTTGTCTGTCCCCGTGAAAGGACACTAATGTGGAGGTTGTACCATGTAGGGTGTGGAGAGGAACAGACTCCCAGGTACCTAACAATGTAAACATGTCTTGATATTAACCCAATCACATCCATTTTGTTTGAGCTCACTGCAAAAAAGTGCAGATTGTTAGCACCTGGGTGATACTCATCTAGAAACTGCACAGGATTCTGTAATACCCACTGCGAAATCAAGGAATATACGTAAAGAAAATGTGAAAGAGAATGATATTCTGGGCAGTCTAAAAGCCCAAATCTGCGTACTTACCAGGAGAATCCATTCTGCAAGGGCCTTGAGAAACAACTAATTATTTTATACAATGTGGGTTAAAAACACTAAGTGAAATCTCACAAAGTAACTTTGGGATTCTACTACTTATTAATGTTCATGTATGGAAAAATCATTTTTCTTGGGCTTCTTGCCTGGTCAAATGGCCTGGGTAGAATTATTACACTCCACCCTCTCTGTCTCTGACTCAGAAATGAGGTCAGAAAATGAGAGAAAAAAAATTTGGATTTTAGGAGTATCAGTTAAACTCTGCACTGCAAACTTCTGAAGATATAGTCTTATCCCATATACTGCCAGTTTCACAATAGCATTATGACATTGATTTTTTTTCTGATTTAAATAGAAAAGTCAACAACTTCATTTTAGCATTTCCAATGAGAGTGATGCCGGACAAACAACTGAACACAGAACATGCTCAAAACTCTCACTTTTTTTCTCCCTTAATTTGCAGTATTCTGACGGATAAGAAATATTGCCATATACAAGCACCACCAATTTAATTTTATTTTCCCTTTTATGATGTATGAGCCTCTCTGACTCTCCAAATCAAACACAGTAAATTAAATTAGGGACAGTTAAATCTTCTACAAATGCAAATCTCACATTAGTATTACAAAATGAAAGGTGTTTTTTCTGTGGGGTTTTTTAATGGAAACGAGATCTGACTTGCGACAGAGTTTGATAAAACCAGGACTTCTATTATTCTTGCCAAATGCAGGGTCAGTCTGACATTCTCCGTCCTATATTTGGGAGAATGTCAAAAACTGTAGAGGTCAGGAATCCGCCAAGTCTGTATGCACTATGTAGTTTCACTGGAAACAGTATGACTTTCCCGTAGTTCAGCGTACAAGCTGATTTGGAAGGCGAACCTCGAGGCTCGTGGCCATAAAGCTGTGCTGAGCAGCGCTGAGCGCTGCCGCGGAGGGCTCTTGTCGCGGGTTAATGCTGCAGCACCCTCTGGGTGATACAGGTCGTCTTTCGGATTCTCCTGACGGATTGCAAAAGAAAACCCGTGTAACCGTGACCTTGGTAGCAATAAACTGTACAATTTTGCAAACTTCATGGATTGTTTCCAAAAGGTGGATAAATGCAACAGCTCTTCCTGCTGGAAAATGGTAGTGCCCTCAGGTAGTCCCCGATCTGCATTTCCATGGATTTTGATGGTGTAAGAGTACAAGAACACACGTAAAGCTTCTCACGGCGACTATTTCCCTTGTGATTTAAAAGCTATGGTGCACTGATAGTATTAGCTCTGCAGGTTTAACTAATACTGTACAAGCAACTGAGTTGGTCTTACTTTGTAGTAGATACAAATCAGCAGTTTTTGTAGCTGTGTTATATTCACATCCCAGTCGAGCTATGGAAGTCGTATATTTGACAGTGGCCAGTGTTGTGACTGCATGGGCAATCCATGCAAACTTTATAGGTACCAAGTCAAACCCAAAACTTAAAAGACTGTCCCAAAAACCTTTTCCACCTCTCCAAACCAAAAGTAAAGCAGTGTGATCTCAGTGCCCCAAGGTTTATCCAGCCAAGAAAGAAACATGTTTCATGCACAGGTGCTCATGCACCAGCTTCCTGGTATTTTAATCATGCCACGAGATTGGCACAAATAACATGAGGTTATTATTTATTCATTTTTAAATATTAAATAATGTTTTTAGCACTTGTGGCATTTTTAGCTTGCTCTGCCAGCTGCTAATACATGTGAGACAGTTATTGCATTATCAACCACGCTTGAAAATTGTAGCAGCAGGTAAGAGATATGTGACTGTCCTAAAACACCTGTGATGGGACGAGTTCCCTGGTGGGCACAAACAGTGGACGTAGAGAAGCAAGCTGTAGGCATATCACTTATCTTTCAATGGTATCAGTTTGGCCAGTTAGAGGAGTTACGTGGCTGTGTCTAGGAAAGCCATGAGTCCAGGACTTTGTTGCTCTAGGTAATGTATACAGATGTGATAAGTCAAAGCTCAGAGCCTCATCTGGTGATCAGGCTCTGGTGTGAGCACTGGATTTGGGACCTTTGAGCTGCCTTTAATCATAAAACATTTAACAGGTTTAAAAAAGCTAACAATACACACATATTCATTCTTAGATACAATGCCTCACGCTATAGAGTGTTTGTAAAGAGTCTTTCATGCTAAAAAATAGAAACTCTTTATTACCCTTTCCAAACAAGCCGTGAGCTATTAGTAGAGTTCGAAATGCAGCTGTCGGATCCACTGCACTTCTGGGTTGACTCCAGCACCAGGTGGTAGGATAGGTCTGTGGCAGGAGATGGGGCATCCCCCTGCCTCTGGATTCCACCTCTACTTGTAAGCGAGGGAAGAGCAGTCGGCTCTGCAGCTCAAGCTCCAGTTGATGCTTTGCGGGATGAATACGGCCAAGTGGTTACAGAAGAAAATAGCCAAGTGTAGCGGGAACACCTATTTTTAAGCTGTCTCCAAAATCTGAAGCTGGATAGGAAAGTTTGAACTTGAGTGAAAAGAATCAAACTCTTTTTAGCTGGATCGTGTGGTAAAGTCTTGGCTTCATTGAAGTAATTGTTGAAATTAATGCTGACTTGAAAGAGGATTGTAACCTCTTTAGAAACAGCTCTGTGTGGCAGAGAAATAGAGGGAGCAGAAGAGGAAAAAAAAGGTATAACTGCATATTGGGTGGGAAGGTATGATAAAAGCAAGACAGTAGACACATCACACATCTAGGCAAGAAGCAACTGAGTAGATATAGCTGTGAATGCTGATTTTAAGTGGGATTTTCCATAGAAACAGGGAAACAAATGTGGTTCAGGAGAGAACTGTTCTCTTTATCATACAGCAGCTTTAAACACAGACTTTGCAATCGTATTATCTGGTGTTTTCCAGTGAACCTTAAACCAACATATCTAGGGGGCCAAACACTTGAAAGTGTAATCGTTCATTTGTCCGCTTTGAATGTTAGAACAACAGCTTTTTTTAGTTTTCTGTTTTGTCTTTGTTTTAACAAGCGAAGGTGGATGTCGTAGCTTAGAGCTGTAAAAGCTGCGCAGCTTGATTTGCAACCTTTGAACCAAGGTACTGTACAGTCCTGGCCTGAGTTTGTTTTTGCCATTTTTGGAAATTATCTTGTTTTGTTACAAGAATGATTTAAGTTGCAAGTGCCGTAAAAGTTCACCACAGTCCAGACCAACCGTACTGGGAGAAGGTTCGTTCCTTGGAAAGATCTTGTCAGCGTTCAAAATTCTGTGCTTTGCACTTTTCCTCCTTTATTCTTCTGCCATTCATGTGCATATGGGTGTGTGGGAGGCTGATGGTTTTTCCAAACCAGACCTAATAAAATAGGATTTTTTTTTTCCTCCCCAGATAAGTGGCCAGCCTGAAAGATTTTTCAAGCATTTTTTAAGCTGAATGGACCCAAGCCACAATTTAGCTTAGTGACCTTAGTGATCGGATGGAACAACAATGACATGTTGCTTCAAACGTAACTAAGAAAGGAAGGCAGAAGACTGCACTTGTTCATGTTATTCCAATTTTTGGATTGTTTTCGGTTTCATCTGACCTCCAATGCAGAACTCCCGTTGGCTTTGAGCAGAGCACAGTAATGGAGAGAAGGGCAAACAATCAGAATAATGCCACTAATTATCAAGTACAAAATAGATGAGAGTTTCCAAGACAGCATCACCTCATTAAAAGTAAAATACCTTCTTGGGTTTTAGCTCATATTTTCCCTCGAGCCTCTTCTAGCTTATATCTTTCTGAGTGTCTACGGTTGGGCTGACGGATAGCCGTTAGTCAAATCCAGTAACCGTATCGGTCTGTGGTCGGAGATGAGTGGTAAGTGAGTGCCAGAGCATTCACTTGTGGTTTTCCTTCTAGTTTCCAGCTGTGCCAGACTTTCAGTCAGAGGAATAGATCTGTTGGTAAGGGGAACCACTGATAAACCATAGAAACAAAAAACTGTCACTGCCCATGACAAAAAAGAGAAAACAGAAGGGAACCTCGAGGCAGGGGTAAGAAGACCCCACAGAAAGGACGTTA